CTTATATCACCTGGATCCACTATTTGGGTAATGGTAAACTTTGGATGTTATTTGGAAAAGAACATATGGCATTTGTTCATACACCATTATATTTCCAGATGTTTACAATTATTTAATTGCCAAAATAACGAAATTAATATGTAAAAGTCGGATATCGAAAGCAATGGGTTTCTTGAATAGTTTGGAGAGGAAACGCCGACAAGGTGTTGGACACCAGCCGCTGAAACGAAAAATGAAGGCATATAGTCAAGGCTAAGGGAATATCCCCTTAACCTTAGGTAAACCCCTCTCTTTGAATTTTCTTTTTTCCATTCTCTCTTCCTTTCCACTTACTAACTACGTTCTCTCCCTTCTCCTAGGAAGAACAGAATAGAGAAAATGGGGAGACAGAGGGAAAACACGAAAGAAAAGGGGATGGGGAAAAGGAGAAGAGGAAACGAGACGGGGAAGACAGAGGAGGAGGAGGAGCAGATGGGCGTGCGTGTGTCACAGAAACAGACGAACACATAATGAGAACAGTGGAGAACAAGGAGAGGTGAAGAGACAAGAGAGAGGAGGAAGTTAAAGGAGAGAGAGCTGGGGAGAAAGAGAGGCAGCGGCGGAAGAGGAAGAGCGAGAAAAGCTTGTCTCGACCTTTCGCGGGGTGAGTGAGCAAGCGTGAACCGGGAAAGGGGTTTAATGGGAAGTGCCCAATCTACCCAGGTCTAAAGACTGTCAATTAATAATTTGATACTAAAAGATATGTTAAAAGTATAAGTTTCGCAACACCTGCATCCTATATACCCCATCATCATTATATTAATGCACCGCTGAACACATTCATTGCTTTTCATTTTACATCATTCATATTCACCAACAGTTTCGGAAATAATATAATAAATTAGGTTGACTGACGATGCACTTTAAATCAATATGTATCTCAAAAGTAACTTAATGCTGATATAATTGACATTAATACTTTCTATAAGTATGATTGCGAGGGGCGGAGTCAAGTGGCCCATTACACTCAAGTTGACCCCAACCAAACCGTGCTTCGCGATTCATGAACGCGACTGGAGGTCGTGGTTCGTAGGAGACACCCAAACGAAATAAATGGAAAACAAGGGAATCAATACCTATACTTTTACAGCCCATTACCCTCGAAATTTGCGGCCAAAGCCATTTATTTATGTTTGGTAGCCCAAGAGGCGCTATTTGAGACGATACATTATTCACACCCACAACTATTACCCACAGTGTGTATGTGTGTGTGTGTGAGAGAGAGAAAGAGAGAGTGAGTGAGTGAGAGGGAGAGAGGAGGGGTTCAGACACTAGCCTCGATAAGATGGGACTGAAACAGCCGAACACTCACTCCTTGCTTTGCCTAGCGAATCTAAATCATCACCTTCCCCCCCCCCCTTTCCTAACTATGTCCAGGTTTGAACGTTGGCCACCTTTCAGGGCAAGAAGGGCAAGATCTCTCCAAGCCACAAACTAGTAACTGTATGATGAATAAACTAGATATTTTGGAGAGTATCAATTATATCTAAAAGTAGAGGATAGATTATGTGAGAATAGTATCTATTTCATCTAAAAACAAAACAACAGAAATACGCAAACGCACACGCAAAAAACTACTCACCCTTTAGAATCTTTTCAATCTGCTTACTGTTGAAGTTGGAGAGGCCAATGGCTTTTGCTTTGCCTGCGTCAACCTGGAAGATGCCACAGGAGTTAATGTGTATATATGTATGTTTGTACAAACACACACATATAATATATATTTATCTATATCTATCTATCTATATACATGTGTGCGTGCGTATGTGTGAAATATAAAACTCTCTCTCTATACATATATATATCTGTATATATATAGATATGCATATATATACTTGAAAAGACACACGTATAGATTGATAGATATTCTTATACACACACACACACACACAAATATATATGGAGAAGAAAGCCGTGCCGAAGAGGCCTTCCCCGGACGCCCAAAAGCCGTGCCGAAGAGGCCTGCCGGAGAAGAAGGCCGTGCCGAAGAGGCCTTCCCCGGACGCCCAAAAGCCGGAGAAGAAGGCCGTGCCGAAGAGGCCTTCCCCGGTCGCCCAAAAGCCGGAGAAGGCGGCCGTGCCGAAGAGGCCTTCCCCGGACGCCCAAAAGCCGTGCCGAAGAGGCCTTCCCCGGACGCCCAAAAGCCGGAGAAGAAGGCTGTGCCGAAGAGGCCTTGCCCGGACGAGCCCGTGCCGAAGAGCCGGCAAAAAGAAGAGGCCGTGCGAAGAGGCCTTCCCGGACGCCCAAAAGTCGGAGAAGAAGGCCGTGCCAGAGACGAAAGAGAAGAAGGCGTGCGAAGAGGCCTTCCTTGCCGAAGAGGCCTTCCCGGACGCCCAAGAGCCGGAGAAGAAGGCCGTGCCGAAGAGGCCTTCCCCGACGCCAAGAGCCGGAGAAGAAGGCCTGCCGAAGAGGCCTTCCCCGGACGCCCAAGAGCCGGAGAAAAGGCGTGCCGAAGAGGCCTTGCCCGGACGCCCAAAAGCCGGAGAAGAAGGCCGTGCCGAAGAGGCCTTCCCCGGACGCCCAAGAGCCGGAGAAGAAGGCCGTGCCGAAGAGGCCTTCCCCGGACGCCAAAGCCGGAGAAGAAGGCCGTGCCGAAGAGGCCTTCCCCGGGCGCCCAAGAGCCGGAGAAGAAGGCCGTGCCGAAGAGGCCTTCCCCGGACGCCCAAGAGCCGGAGAAGAAGGCCGTGCCGAAGAGGCCTTCCCCGGACGCCCAAAAGCCGTGCCGAAGAGGCCTTGCCCAAGAGCCGGAGAAGCCGTGCCGAAGAGGCCTTCCCCGGCCGCCCAAGAGCCGGAGAAGAAGGCCGTGCCGAAGAGGCCTTCCCCGGCCGCCCAAGAGCCGGAGAAGAAGGCCGTGCCGAAGAGGCCTTCCCGGCGCCCCCGAGGCCGTGCCGAAGAGGCCTTCCCCGGACGCCCAAAGCCGGAGAAGAAGGCCGTGCCGAAGAGGCCTTCCCGGGCGCCCAAAAGCCGGAGAAGAAGGCTGTGCCGAAGAGGCCTTCCCGACGCCCAAAAGCCGGAGAAGAAGGCCGTGCCGAAGAGGCCTTCCCCGGACGCCAAAACCGGAGAAGAAGGCCGTGCCGAAGAGGCCTTGCCCGGACGCCCAAAAGCCGGAGAAGAAGGCCGTGCCGAAGAGGCCTTCCCCGGACGCCCAAAAGCCGGAGAAGAAGGCCGTGCCGAAGAGGCCTTCCCCGACGCCCAAAAGCCGGAGAAGAAGCCGTGCCGAAGAGCCTTCCCCGGCCGCCCAAGAGCCGGAGAAGAAGGCCGTGCCGAAGAGGCCCTTCCCCGGACGCCCAAAAGCCGGAAAGAAAGGCCGTGCGAAAGGCCTTCCCGGACGCCCAAAAGCCGGAGAAGGCGGCCGTGCCGAAGAGGCCTTCCCGGACGCCCAAAGCCGGAGAAGAAGGCCGTGCCGAAGAGGCCTTCCGGCCGCCCAAGAGCCGGAGAAAAATGTGCCGAAGAGGCCTTGCCCGACGCCCAAAAGCCGGAGAAGAAGCCGTGCCGAAGAGGCCTTCCCCGGCGCCCAAAGCCGGAGAAGAAGGCGTGCCGAAGAGGCCTTCCCCGAGACCGAGAAGAAGGCCGTGCCGAAGAGGCCTTCCCCGGACGCCCAAAAGCCGGAGAAGGCCGTGCCGAAGAGGCCTTCCCCGGACGCCCAAAAGCCGGAGAAGGCGGCCGTGCCGAAGAGGCCTTCCCCGGACGCCCAAAAGCCGGAGAAGAAGACCGTGCCGAAGAGGCCTTCCCCGGCCGCCCAAGAGCCGGAGAAGAAGGCCGTGCCGAAGAGGCCTTCCCCGGACGCCCAAAAGCCGGAGAAGAAGCGTGCGAAGAGGCCTTCCCCGGACGCCCAAAAGCCGGAGAAGGCGGCCGTGCCGAAGAGGCCTTCCCCGGACGCCCAAAAGCCGGAGAAGGAAGTGCCGAAGAGGCCTTCCCCGGACGCCCAAAAAGCCGGAGAAGGCGTGCCGAAGAGGCCTTGCCGGACGCCCAAAAGCCGGAGAAGAAGGCCGTGCCGAAGAGGCCTTCCCCGGACGCCCCGGAGAAGAAGGCCGTGCCGAAGAGGCCTTCCCCGGACGCCAAAAGCCGGAGAAGAAGCCGTGCCGAAGAGGCCTTCCCCGGACGCCCAAAAGCCGGAGAAGAAGGCCGTGCCGAAGAGGCCTTGCCCGGACGCCCAAAAGCCGGAGAAGAAGGCCGTGCCGAAGAGGCCTTCCCCGGACGCCCAAAAGCCGGAGAAAGAGGCCGTGCCGAAGAGGCCTTCCCCGGACGCCCAAAAGCCGGAGAAGAAGAAGAGGCCTTGCCCCAAAAGCCGGAGAAGAAGAGTGCGAAGAGGCCTTCCCGGCCGCCCCAAGAGCCGGAGAAGAGGCCGTGCCGAAGAGGCCTTCCCCGGCCGCCCAAAAGCCGGAGAAGAAGGCCGTTGCCGAAGAGGCCTTCCGGACGCCAAAGCCGGAGAAGAAGGCCCGTGCCGAAGAGGCCTTCCCCGGCCGCCCAAAAGCCGGAGAAGACCGTGCCGAAAGAGGCCTTCCCGGCCGCCAAGAGCCGAGAGAAGAAGGCCGTGCCGAAGAGGCCTTCCCGGACGCCAAAAGCCGGAGAAGAAGCCGTGCCGAAGAGGCCTTCCCCGGCCGCCCAAGAGCCGGAGAAGGCGGCCGTGCCGAAGAGGCCTTCCCCGGCCGCCCAAAAGCCGGAGAAGAAGGCCGTGCCGAAGAGGCCTTCCCCGGACGCCAAAAAGCCGGCGAAGAAGGCCGTGCCGAAGATGCCTTGCCGGACGCAAAAGCCGGAGAAGAGGCGGCCGTGCCGAGAGGGCGCTTCCCCGGACGCCCAAAAGCCGGAAAAGAAGGTGTGCGAAGAGGCCTTCCCCGGACGCCCAAAAGCCGGAGAAGAAGACCGTGCCGAAGAGGCCTTCCCCGGCGCACCAAGAGCCTGGAGAAAGGCGGCCGGTGCGAGAGGCCTTCCCCGGCACGCCCAATAAGCCGGAGAAAGAA